GCACCTGACGTCCGGATGTGTGCAGCATCCCTTCTGTGTCGTGTTTGTCGGGCCGCATTAAGTCAAACGTGGAACCGTTATTGCCCACACACACACACACACACACACACACAGTGGCGCTTCCGAAATATATATGAGTAAACATCCAAGTCTGTTAACGTTCCATCGCACAGACACCAAACAAGCGGCTTTATCATCCTCATCTTGTGGGTTTTAGGTTGCAGAAGTGAAGAATTAGCATTTACGTGGACACCTGTGCGACTTCAGAGCACGTAGCTGTGCACAGGGAGAGAAATACGACGGTGCAGCCGGGGGCCGTCGAAGCCAAACACCGTAACTCAAGATGTGTGGATTTACCACGGGGCAGGAACCAGCTGCACACGATGTTAGTTTACAGCGTAGTGAAACGCCTGCCTATCAGAAACGCACCACAGTGCAATAAGGGCCGATGCGTCCGCTTTCACGCCAGCGCGTTTTCCCTGCGTGCGGGTTCGCTCTCGTCCCGCGTTGCTGCAGCACACATGACCCGTTGACGCCGGCGTCCATGTGGGTCACGCGCAGACCGCCGACCGCTCCCGTCAATACGAGTCGGGCAGCCGTGACGCTGGCGGCTCGATAGAAGCCGGCACTTGACTATTTCGGAGCACAATGAGGCACTCCAATCCACGCACGCATCAATCCCGCTGTCGCACTTTTACGAGCAGCCGCGTGTCAACGGACAAGTGCTCCTCCTCCTCCTCCTCCTCCTCCTCCTCCTCCTCCTGCAGGTCAAAGGTTGCAGCAGAGCCGGGTCTGTGACCCCTCACGACCTCGTCTGGTTCCTCGTGGAATCCCACCTGGTACTTTATGTCAGTAAGTGGTCGTGGATTCAGTGAATGAATAAAACAAGCTGATGGGATGAAACTAAGATGATATAACAAAATGAAATGGAAACTTTCCAACTGGTTAAGACCTTGATGGAGTAAGAAAGCTATTTGAAGCACAAAAGTCTTAAGTTCAGTGCGAGCAGCGGAGTTTCAAGTGACTTGTTCCCTCTGACCGACCGATTTAAAAAATAAACAAATATGATGCAAAACGGGGGGAAGCAGCTTGATGCAAAGCTTAGGCGATGGTTCTGCAGACCTGCTGGCGGCTCGAGGTTAACGGTTCTGTCTGACGGTCTAAGCGGGAGAGACGGAGACGGACGCTGGAAGGATGAGAAGGAATCAGACATTCGAGCTCCAGAGAGACTAGAATCTCCGAACCCCGGGTTTATTACCCAGAAACCTGCAGCACTTGGAACCTCTGCACAGCTGGAGGTAATTAAAAGTGTTCCATCCCATCTGGAGGAATGAGAAACAGACACTGTAGCTGCGTTGGTTTCGATCTTTATTCTCCCTCGGTAATTGAATTAGGAGAAGTTGAGGCCAGGATAAGATGAACAGATTTATCAAGTATAAACCTTTATGTGAGAAAACGCTGTTAATTTTGAGTTTAAAAACAAGGACTTTTCTATTTTAAACCTGGTCATGACATGTGACCTTTAAAAACACACCATATAGGACTCTAATTCATATCTCGAAAACAATGTCTGAGGTGGGGGTGGTCTATAATGGTCTATATGAAAGAACCACATGGTGAATACTTTTGTGTGTGTTAAATACTAAAAGCTCAAAAGTATTTTGACTGATCTGATTTTTGACCCATAGTGAGTTTGTGCTTGTTCTTCATTCATTTTTGCCCGGCACGAACGAACAACTCGGTATCTTGTCTGACCTTGAGAAATGCACGTTTGACCTGCAGCTCACGGCGCTGAGATCAATGGCCATTAGATCACAGCGCTGAACCACCGCTTGTGTCCTACAAACGCACAAACTTACTTGCACCCGGAGTGGGAGGACTGTCGCGTTCACTCACAGTCTATGTTGCCACCTACAGAGCACCTCCGTCAAGCACAGAATCTCTCGTACTCAATCAGGCAAAACCTGAAAGTGTGCGAGCAGACAGCTCGTCGGGGGCGTTAAATATACGTCATGAACAAAAGGAAACATGGCGATATTCAACTCTGGTTTAAGGGTACTAGAAAAGTAAGTGCACGTAAAAGTAAGTGCAGCCGTCCTACAATGTTATTTATTATAACAGGATATTATAAAAAGGATTTAGTATGAAGCAATACATTTTAAGACATGCCAAACATACCAGGATGTGCCTTTTATTTTATTTTCTGATTATTCTGACCCACATGTATTATTCATGTGTTCGTATGTCTGTTCTGTTTAAAGTGCGTCAATGTACTGAGTCACTGAACGCATACTGCATGCAACAACGCATGCTTTTTAAAGGCCGCTGCAGCCATAATTTCCGCTATCGTCCCATGATGCAATGCACAAAGAAGACAATTTGCTCTTGGAACTCGAAAATAAATGGGATGCTTCCCGGGCTCTACTGAGTACCAGCTCCCATGCTACAGGAGCAGCACACCTGAGGATTAGACGCCTTGCTCAGAGGCACATGTCAGGCCTTTCGGAGTGCATGTTAAGACAGCAGCGCAGAGAAAGTCACCGAGGATTTGAGGAGGAAGTCGTGAAAAGAGGCGCTGACGACCAAATCCCCCTCTGACCTCGGGACAAACACTCATTCACAGATTTCAAAGCCAACAGCAATTAAGAGTCTTTGAGAGCTTTGGAGCCAAACTGAGCCAGCTGCCGGTGCCCCGCCCACAGCAGCAGGCTCACAGCTGATTGGCTGCCCGACTGGGCCCCCTGCCAGTGACGTTTCACCTGATACGTCCCTTGCAGTCCGCCAGTGAAGCCAGCAGCTGAGACGCGATGACGTGTGGGGAATGCTCTCAGCTGGTTGGTTCCCAGCTACGAAGGTGTGTGTGTGTGTGTGTGTGTGTGTGTGTGCGCGCGCACGTGCGCGTGTGGGTTTCGTCGGTGTGCGTGAGCGTACATCGGGGTGTGCGTTAAAAAAAAAACAGATCAGACACATGTGGTCGCTTTCATTTGGCAAATGAAGCACCGCGACGCGTGCAGCAATCCACGCACGTGTGGTCTGGTTTCCATGACAACGGCTCCTTCCTTTTCCCTTTTTTTCCCCCCCTCGCGCAGACAAGCCTTCCACGTGACACATACATCAAGAGAGCGAGCTGGAGACAGAAGATGTGAGCCGGATCCACCCCCAAAAAACTTTGGGTGGAGGGCTGGATGTCAATGTGCTGATCTGAGAGCAGCCGCCCCACCTTAAAGGTTCACATCCTGTCGGCCAACAGGTGACCCCCCCCCTCCCCATATATACCTTTTTGTGCTCCGGCGACATGCTCCTCACGGGCCTTCTGAAGGCTCGCGCGCCAATAAAAACCAACAGCGTGCTCATCAATGAGATGTTTTGGGCGAGTCTCGCCGCGTCCTTTCGTCCACATCCCATAATAATGCGCAGTGGAATCTCAGCAGTTTACAACGTGCATCAAAAACGCGTGCGAAACGTGCTTCTGCTTACCTCATCCTCCCCTCCTGTCCGTCTCAGTGGGACGCAGACGGGGATTCGGTCGTTGAGGATCAGGGAACAAATGTATCTATAGAAATAAAAAGCATCCCAGCTGCAGCACCTCTGGCTGTTCTAGTCTAAACAGCGGTGCGGCCGGGCAGCCTGCAGCCGGCTCGGTGTGCAGATGTTGAGGGTGTGGATAATGCTACGCGGACTCCCAACACGTTTCAGCTCTGTCTTAAGAAAATGAATAAATGAAGCAAATTTAAAAAAATTTAAAAAAATGTTCTCCGGTGTCGTGTCAGGCGGCGGGCGGGGCCGTCGGGTCCATCTCAGAGGGAAGCGCGCCGCTGGCCGCGGGACGAGGAGCCGGGCGGAGAGGCGCACAGCAGCGGCTTCTCAGGAGCCATCTTTTCCTCCCTTCGACCACTGGGGGGCTGCACGGGGGGGAGGGAGAGAGAGAGAGAGAGAGAGAGACGGGCGCGCACTCTGCAGGTATGAAAAAACGTCGCCGCGTGTTATCGGGATTATTACAGACCTGTTTGTGTGTGCGTGTGCGTGTGTGTGTCCACAGAGAAATAACACTCGTAATTTTTTTTTTTTTTTCTACTGCAAAACAATTGAAGGCATCACAGGAATATTAGTGATATGATTAAAATACCACCAATACTTTAAGCCTTTAAGACCCTCAGAGATATATATGTATTGTGTGTATTCTGTGTGCGTGTGTGTGTGTGCAATTTCCTTTCATATAACAATTTGAACAATATTTTAATTTCATCATTTGTAAATTCACAGTTTTACTGTAGCAAGGCCATGACCTCTTAAAGGGACAGTTCAGCTTTGTGTTGAACTTCTACCACATGGTGCTACACAGGTGTACAGTGTTAACGGGTAGAAGAGACAGACTGTGATACAGTATACAAAAGCCCACAGAGGGACAGCACACACACACACACACACACCTGTCGACCAGCTAACATCTGTCTCAGCAGCTGCTGCTGCCTCCTCGTGGGGGACAGATCACTTAAATCCCCACAGAGGACCCGAGTTCATCCGAGCTTTTCTTAAAGACTATTTGTTATTGTAAAGCCTCCATTAGTGCTGCTCGTTTGAAATGATGCAGCCCCAGATGTGTGTGTGTGTGTGTGTGTGTGTGTTTGCAATAGTAACGTTTAGTATTGAGGTCGCACTGCAGCTCTCTCTCTCCTTCTCTGTCATTGTGTCTTCAGAGTTGTGTAGGATGCATCTTTGTGTGCAGCCGGGTGTTGAACTCAGTGTCGCAGCAGTGATGCGGCCTCCCCAGCAGAGGTCCTCCTGCCCTCTAAAGAGGCTGTGAGATCCCACCGTGGCTCCATGACGACAGCAGCTCGTCTTGTGAACCCACTTTTATTTTTCATGGTGCAGCTTTAACGATCCGCTGCTATAACTCTTTATCTCCACAGGAGGGCGCTGACGCCATGAAAGGTCACAGGGATGCATGACCTTAGCTTTTGAGCTTTATTGGAGTTAAATCCTAAAAAGTTAATGTTGTGTGTATTTCTATTGGTTTATTTGCACAAATACATCTAAGTAAAAAGATAATGGTAAAATTACAAATCATTTAAAATCATTTCCAGGTTAGGAGCTAAAGATGGTCCGAGATGCCTCTTTGATTATATGATTCAGTCATATGAGTCAGAAAAAACGATAAAGGATGAAATGAAGAACGAATTGCGTAATTCAACAGGTTACATCTTTGCTGTACTAAAGGGACATAATTACAAGGAAGTTTCAAGTTGTGATCCATTCAAATAAAATCCATGAAATGTTCTAAAATGTGTTGATTTACATTCTTTTCAGATGTTTTTGAAGAACAATAATGTCGATTGTGGTGATGGAAATAGTAATGTAGAAAATGAGTACATGTCTGAGAAAGATTTAAAATGTGGGTTTACAAGACACATTCCTGGTACGCGTTGACCTAAAAATGAATAGAAGTGAATTAAAGTAAGGACATCTTTTAGCAAACTATTCACTCCAAAAATCCTTTAACCTTTTTGAGAGATGAAGTGTTTTTTCGAAGTTGGAGTGGAACAAATGATGCGCAAGGCACAGCTCACACATTTTCCACAAGTCTCCATTTCACTGTTTATGCAACTGAAAAGGTCCCCGGCTATGCGACCCCTGCTGGATTATAAAGCACCACGACCTCCGACCCGCACGCACTCACACAAGGAAGAGTCGCCCCCCTTAGTGGCCGCAGCTTTTTATTGCTCGTCCTGAACTGGAATCATCATTCGTGCACACACTGCACGCCGGTTACTCTTTAGGTGGAACGACAACTAAAAAAAAAATAAAAACAGCACATCACGGCACACTCGCTGACGTCACACACACACACACACACACACACACACACACACACACACACACACACACTGCACTGTGTGAAACAACACGCAGGTACTAGCATCACGTGACAAACGGGTCTATGACTACGGAGGCTAAACGCGCGTTGATCACGCCGTAAAATGCTAACGTCGCACAAAACCACAACCGTTTTTTTCCCAGCAGAATCTTCTCTTTGCCTCAGTAACAAATCTGAAAGTATTGGCTGGGCGATTTGAGGGGGCTCTTGTAGCTGGGGGGGTCCCGCGGTGCGCTCTGGTTGGTGGTGGGTTTCTGCAGGTTGAAGGTGAAGGACGGCGTGGTCTTCTTCGCCTCTGGCTTGCCGCCGCCGTCCCCCCGGGGGGGGTTGGGCGCGCCCGTCGGCCCGCCGCGCGCCGGCACCGCGGCCCCGGACCCGGGGGCCTCAGAAGACCCAGTCTTTCTTGTGAGGGGGCTCAGATAGATCTGCATAGTCACTAAGTGAAGTGGTGAGAGGAGGTGAGGAGGTTGAGCGTAGAGACAGAGGGGTGAAGGAAAGGGTTAGAACGGAGGTCGGCAGGTCAGGGAGGGGGGGAGGTGGGTTACAGGTAGAGATGAGGTCAAAAAGCAAGGGTGCAAAAAGGGCGAGGGGAGGCACACACGTCATGGTGAGATGGATGTGACAAAGAAATGGTAAAAAAAAAAAAAGATCAAATAGCAGCTCATACAAAATGCTCCCGTGACTGTATGTCGCTCGGCATGATTCGTACCTTTGCAGTGCGTCACCTGTCTCGTCCCTGCAGAGAAAATGGATAGAAAGGTCACCTACGCGCCGCTAACTGTGTGCAAGTGTTTGGCTAAAGACGAGCTGTCTCACATTCTCGCTGCTCGCAAGAAAAAGACAGAAAAAGTGCAGAGAAACGTACCTACGGTGGCGGCAGCCTCCTTGGGCCTGCTGAGAGAGAAAGAGAGCGAGAGAGAGAGACATCAGTTGACTAAACGGGAGACACCTCAGAATCACCGGAATATACAGTATATATATACTGTGTATGTATGTATAGAATATTCAAAGGGACGTCTGAGAAGGCCTTTGTCTCCTCACCTCTCCGGAGGCTTCCTGCCGGTGGAGGCTGCAGAGGTGGGTCGCTTGGGGGTCTTGCAGGGACTGTCCTTCACGCTGCCTGCAGGGCTCCTCACGCTGCTGGGAGGGAAACAAAACGAGCACCGTGAAGCTTCAGACCCTTTTTTAATTAAAAATAAACGATGCTACCTTCTCCCCTTCTCTTCACTTGTGTGTTGCACACAGAGATGATGGCGAGGAGGATGATGATGCGTCTCACTCCACGCTGCACGCACAGCCTTAAATCGATGGAGATTTACTTCTCTGTGCAGCTACATAGAGCACACGGCAGCGCAGAGAGACGCCTGCTCTCTGACTAATATCTCCCGGCAGCATCGTTCCAGAGTCAATAGAGAGGAAGAGCGGAAGATGGTCCGCCGCTTCATCGCTTCCAAGCGAAGGCGAGCGCTTGGAATAATTCATGCGGTGCGTCTCGGACGACGCAGAGCGTCTGCCGATTGCTTTTGCGCATTAGGCGATGAGAACTGAAGCTGGTGATGAGAGGCCGAAGCCTCGTCGAGAGCGGCTGCATTCCATTATGCTCCGTGTGTGTGTGTGTGTGTGTGTGTGTGTGGCCACCACGGCTGGGTGTATTACAAAATGAAGATGTCCGGTCTGCAGGTGGACCGGCAGCAGGTACCTGCGCGGGGGGGTTGGACTGTAGTTCCGGGCCATGGAGCTGGAGGGCAGCGTGGAGCTCTTCTTCACCGAGGCGGCACAGGAGGTCACCAGAGGAGATCTGGAGGGCAGAGCGAGCGACAGCGGCCTGGCTGTGGACACACACACACACACACACACAGACGTGTAAGTGTGATGCAGGTGTGTGTGTGTGTGTGATGTGTAAATGGGCTTTCCATGTTTCCTGAAGCCTAAATTTGCTCTGAATGCTTTTTCCAGGTTTAGTGACAGAAACATGACGACTGCCGTCTGACTGACTAGGAGCTGATTCTGTATTACACAGCTGGATCATCTTTGACTTTACACTAATTACAATGTAAATGAGAGTATCCGGATCCATTAGTCAATACATTCAGCCACCTTTAAACAAAAAAAAAGCCAAATATTGCTAAGTTTCAGCTTCCCGCGGCTCGGATCGACCACCGACTGGATGTCTTTTTGGTTTGGAGTGTGTGTTTGACAAACGTAAGCACTTTCCCTCATTTGCTGATGATGTGCAGATCAAATGATCTGCATATCAAGGAAATGATCAACTGCCAATAAACAATAAACCTCTCAGCGAGCATCCCTCACATTTAGAAGAGCAATCATTTCTTTCTTACTGCAATGTAAAAGTGCGATAGATTCTGACTAACACACGACACTAACTTGTTACTCCGATACTGCTGCCAGTGAACAAGTGAACAACTGTTCAGAATGTGGATGGCGGCGATAAACCTCGCTCACCTTTAGCGGCGGATGACCTCCGGCTGTTGGTGGAGGCCGCCTGGTGCTCCTCTGAGATGTTGAGCCTCTTGAGGACGTCGGCCAGGGCCATCTTCAGCAGCTGGATTTCGTCTTCCTGCATCTGCATCCTCTGCTCCAGGTAGGTCAGCCGGTCGCCCACGTCCAGGCCGCTGGCCGCCGAGCTGCGGTCGTCTGGCAGATGGACGGACGGGTGACAGGTTCAGGCCAAGGGCACAGATCATGTTGTTGATTTTCTATACTTTTCAGCACCGTTACGTAACTGATGACGTGCTTGACCTCCGACAAGATGTGCAGGCCTCTGAAACGCGTCTGCATGAATTTCACGGTGCAAAAAAAAAACCCACAGAGCAACAGCGAGTGAGACCGACTGAGGGATCGACTAAAATAACCACACACACACTGAGACAAAGGTGCGATGAACTGACTCAAGCTGAAACCATGCAGCCGTTTGTCAAGAGAAGAGCCGGGGAATGAATAAAAACAATCCTCCAGCCCTACGAGAAGACGCACAAACGTAACAAAAGCACTTTTGATTTTCACCCTTCGCTTATTTAATTCTAGCATGAACGCTCCTCTAAGGCCCATCTGCTTTGGCCCAGGGATGCAAAGACAATCGATGGCGCTGTAAGCTCTTTAACGCCCCCCGCCGCCGCCTCCTCCCTCCCCTCCCTCTTTGTGCCCGTGTGGTAAAAGTCGAGCTAATGAGGTCGAGGCACAGCTGGGCACAGCGGCACGTGAACAAAGGTGCAGCGCAGGGAGCGTCCAGACACACTCTCGACTCCTCTCCGGCTCGGCGGCGTGTGTACCGTGGGAGTCGGTGGCCGAGCGGTCGGGGGGCCTCTGCGCGCCGGACGACTTCCTCCTCTTCCTCTCCTCCCTTGAGCACGGCCTCTCGATCCTCTTTCCTCCCCCGGCGGCGGCCCGACAGGCCGGCTCTCCCTCCATCGGACTCCGGGTGTCCGCTAAGATCTCATCTCCGTTTGCTCCACTCGAGTCACAGGAACACAAGCCGGCGTGTCGGGATCCTCTCGCGTAACCTCGGCGGTGGCTTGATGAGGATGACAACGTTTAAAGCTCTTTTGATCAGCGGGTGGGCTTATATAAAGGTGGGGGGGGGGGGGGGTGGTGATGATGCTTAAAAACTCTGCGGCCGTGCAATCCAGCCTGATTTGTGCATGTCAGTGTGTGTGTGTGTGTGTGGGCAGACTACAATGATAATCCCTCAGACTGATCCGCTTTGACTCCGCCCCCACACATAAGCCCCACGTCCGCTGTGAGCGACGGAGACACAGCAGCAATGAACCTGCGTGGCCCCGATAGTAAATATCTCGTTCATCCAAGAGCTTTGCAGAGGCCCCGGTGCGGGTCAGCGGGGGTCACATGCAATCAATACTTTACTGTCAGAGGGAACGCAATGACCAGCAGGTCAACTCATTAGAAATGAAGGGAAAGTGACTGCATTGAAGATATATTCAGTTATATAACGACCGAACTGAACTGAATCTGTTGTGATGGAAAAGTGCATGAGAAACAGTAAATAAGTCAAAGTTATCTCAGCGCTTGATTGATATTGTCTGCAAGGTCGGTGAGCTAAAAGCTAAAGCTCCAGGTTTGAAATGTCCATTTAAAGGTAATGATTGACAGTCCAGCAGCAACCACTCACACCTCGAAGGTGTAAAGCAGGTGAAGCATTTGGCGGCATCTAGTGGCGAGTCCGCAGATTGCACCTCTCCGAAACGGAGAGCTACGGTGGCCGGTGTTTGTGTCCTGCTCCCTGCGTGGAAATAAATTCAGATTCTCCAATGATCTGCTGTGGGCGAACTCTCCCGGTATAATCCTCGTTGTGGCTCTGCGTAGGACCGGGCCGCGTCAACAACCCCGGGCCACCTCCACGCAGGACCCATATGGGATTGGGATTAGAATAGCACATAATCCCAGCGCTGTAAAAGGGAATTAGCAGCCCGGAGCTCAATCTGTGCACTCACTCAGCTACACAAAGAACGGGCAGCCTCCCTGGACGCCTTTCACGCAAATGCAAACACACACAATCAAACATTAAGTCTGTCTCCGCACCTCCGACTCACACACACACACACACACTCACATTCACACACGTGGGCACACAGCCAGCGGAGCGCTGACATTTTCAATCGCCTGTGATTCATGTCAGAAGATGCTTGAAGTGTTTTAATCTCTTCCCCAGATGGTGTTTCTTGAACGGTGGAGCAGCATCCGTCTGCTCATATCAGCACCACCCGACAAGGGCAACCCTCCAACTGATGCTAATGTCCCCTGGGGGGGGGGGGGGTGCCCCTCCAGCTGGACCGCATTTCACAACGCCCACAGGTAGACCCGCGTTATGCACCGGACAGGTGCGAGACTCTCGGGTTGGTGCAAGGAGTTATTTGACTAATTTCTGGAGTTTTTCAGAACAAACAACCTGCAGCTCGACAGTCAAAAGCGCTTTAAAGGCCAGCGAGTGAGACAAAAAAAAGCCCCACGAACACACGCGTACTTTTCTCCTGAGAGCTAAGAGAAGGCTTCTTTCTTTTTGAAAGGGGCCGAAGGGGGGTTGGGGGGGGGTCATTTACCTGAAGGGGACCCACCTGTCATGAAGTCGGTGTCAGGCGCCAGCAGGGAGTCACTGTGGCAGCTCTCCTTCAGCGAGGGTCTCCTCAGCAGGGCCGTCTCCTCCATCCCCAGGCCCTGGTCCACCAGCTCCTCCATGTGTGCGTCGCCCTCCTCCATGCGCTCTGCCATGGCGGAGTGCTCCTTCGTGCTCCTGCTAATTCTCTTATTCACCTTCCCTCAGCCACCGGTGCCCCCCCCCCTACCCCCCGCGGTCCTGGGAGGAGTGTGCCGAGTGATGTCACTAAGAGGACAGATTAAGGACCCGGTAAGCCATCTGAGGCTCAGGGGGAGGACGGGATGGGAGAGCATGAGAGTGTGCAGGGGAGGGAGGTAAGGGGGGGGGGGGGGGGGGGGGGGCTCACACATGGGGAGAAACATCTTCAAAACAAAGGGCCTCAAAAAGAGCTTCCTGACCTCACAGCTTCTGTCTGCAAATACAAAGCCGAGGAAACGATTCCAAGAGTAACAATTACAGACACACACACACACACACACACAACCGCCGCAGACACACCAGGGCCATTTGCTGCTGCAAAGTTGCAGACAAGCGCACAATTATCTTGCCAGAGAGAGTGTGTGTATAGTTGCCATGCCGCCCCCCCCCTGAAGGGCTGAGTCGTTGGCGTCCGGGAGTTAGGGGACAGAACTTTATTATATACCGTCTTCAGGAGGCAGATAACCCGGGCGGGGGGGGTAGACCCCCGGGGGGGGCAACCCGGAGCAGATGTACTCCCAGTCAGGTGATTGGGTGATGCCCCCCCCCCCCCCCTGTACTCTGGTGTAAGCTGACTTTCTGTCCATTTAGCAGTCGCTGGATTGATTTTTTTTTTTTTTTATCATTCAGCAGATGCTTCTCTTTGCTGATCTGCCACATGGAGGAACTCCTCCTCCACGTTTCTCTTTCTCCTCCCGCAGGTCGCAGGCCGATGAAGAATGTTTAGATCTTTTAATGGAAACACTGGCGGGGTTTCACCGCACTCACTTCTCTTCACGTTTTCTTTTGTCTTCTCGCACAATCACACTTCCTGTTTGGTCTGTTTTCAGTTCTGTGTTCACGTGGGAACGTTAGAGAAACTAAGAGAGACACCCTCACTGCACACAACATGCAGTCAGAAGATAAGAAGGAATTGTAAGAATTAGATCTAAATGTGGCAGAAACAATAAATTAAGAAGTGGCATGAAATATATCTCACATTTAAATGAATATAAAGCGATAGAATTCAACATCATTGTTCCCTAAAATATGACTATAATTTCTTAATTTATTTTCTACTGAACGTCCTTGTGATTCATGTGGCAGCAAATACAATATAAAGTATTTTCTGCCTCTATTTATCCTTCAATCATTCTCTTTCGGTCTGCTTATTGATCTCTTGACTAAAAAAATCAACCACTTAAAATCATATCAATGTTAATGAGAAACATTATAGTGAGTCGGGTCCAACTTTGGTTAATTATTCTTAAAGTTCCAGCGTCATCTGAGAGCACATTTAAAAATAAGTTTCTTTAAACTTCTTCCAGAATGTGAAAATCTTATTTATTTTTTACTTAATCTTAAAAATAATTTGATTCTTTTACACTCACAAGCAGCCTGGTTATATTATTTCTAGACTGTAATCAGTTATCCCCGTGTAACAGACACCAAGGACCTGTGTGTGTGTGTGTGTGTGTGTGTGTGTGTGTGTGTGTGTGTGCATGCTGGACATCCCTAATGCCCGGAGGCCTGATCAGGGATAAAGGCCAAAGAGACATGAAGACATGATGGAGGACATGAGCGAGGACGAGGAGACGTGGGAGAAGGCCGTAAGCCGTCCCCTGCTGTGATTAGATTAAAAGACGGCCGTGTGCTTCAAGGCAAAGAGGTCGAGGGTCCGACCCCTGACCCCGTGCACGCCGCCTCACTACTGGCCTCCTGTGGACATCGTGCAGCACGACAGTTGCATGCTGGGAGAACGCTGCAGACTTCCTGTTGACCTCCTGCGCGCATGAGAACGGCTTCCATTGCACAATGTCACACACACGCACACCGAGACGGCGTCCCTGGATCCAAATGTGATGAAGAAAGAGACACACGCTTTTTCACAAAGGACCAATTTTATAAATATTCTTTCGATGGAACATGAAATCAGCAGGGACGTTATATAATTCTTCCCAAAAGAATCCAAGAGATTTTCAGAAAGCGTGACAATAATCCGATACACACGTCGCTTCTCTACTCAAAAAATATCTAGACTTTATATTGTATATCCGCCCTACTTCCCAAATATATCAAAATATACGCTGACAACGAGCATCGATGTGACAACACGGCCCTTTGACTCACCGGCGAAGGTCACTCAGCGCGTGACCCCCGCGCCGCCGACCCCCCCCCCCCGACTCTCTGGCTTGTTGTCGTGGCAACAAAGGACGCAGATGTGTCCATGCAAAGCTGCTATGTAAATTAAGTCACATGAATAATAACATACAATCTGGTTCTGTTTTTGCTTTTGCTTTTTTTTAAACGCAGTGCTTGCAAGCACCTGGGAGGACGACTCAAGGCAACCTTCTTCCCTCCATCTCCCCTCCAGGGAGCCCAGTGTCCAACATGAGGAGACACGGAAAGAGGACAAGGAGGGGGAGCTGGTGGACAGCGTTGGGACGCGGCCACAAGACTGTCCTGAGCATAAGACCCCGCCAGGGGACGTCCGCGGTTAATGCACGTCTGGCTGACGCGGCTTTGACCTTTGTTACATTAAAAACCGCTTCTTTCCTCAGTGTGATTCCAACAACTTCAATCAGGGACTGTGTGAAAATTATTACACTGTTGAGAGGGGGGGGGGGCGACTCTTATTTTATATTCTAAAAAAGAAAATATTTTTCTCTGGACCCTCCCTCTAACTTCTACAAATTGCAATGTCCTTACTTTATTATTTCAAAATAAACAGCCATTCTCTGTTAGTGCCAACAGAGGGAATGTAAAAAATTCTGGGTTAAAAATCCCCCGAAGCAAAGATTTTAAATACGTGACCCCCTCTCCCCCCTCTAGTAATTATCATACAGGCCTGAACTCCTGACACTGACCCCCCACGTGGGCTACATTTAGAGAAGGAGCCCAGAGGACATCCCGCCCGGTCTCAGGTGTAACGTCTGACCCCCCCACACGGGAGGAACCGATAGACGGGGTGTGCTTTGGTCTCGCTCCCCCCTCTCCCCCCCGACAAGGAAATGATTAAAAAACTAAACATTTACATCTCGGTCGACAACCACCACTCAACCATTTAATTTCTAAACTCATAAGTTACAAATAAACAGAAATCATTTCTATCCTCGAGCGCAAAGAAACAGGATAAAGTTAATCAATTAGATACAGTATTTCCAAATAAGTTAAATTGAAATCTTAATATATTGTTATACTCCATTTAAATATTTTTTTCCTTACTTTAAATATAATTACTAACAGACCTTGCCAAAATACTTACAGTGGGGCTTGGCTGCCCGATAAAAGAGGTCTCGGAGCTTCCTGGGTCCGAAATGCACCAGAAGAGACCACCTCGGGTCACATGACCTTCGCTCTCCTCGTCATTCGGTCAGATCTCGCTTCACGCTAATTTGAAACCAAATCAAAAATAATGCACATTCTTTTCTTTGAACCATTTGTTTTTTTTCCAAAAATAGTAGGTCTAAAAATATATTATATATGCCGTCTTAGCAAATAGACATAATAAAATATTCCTAATAAGGAGAAATTGTAAAGTAGGAGAATATATATATTGCCTCTTTGAAGAATGTGGGCGTCGGGTGAAATAAAAAGGGTTGGATTTGTCTCGTTGTGGATTCAGAGCGTCGCAGGGAAGCAATCGGGTACTCTTTACCTTTTCAGAAAGACGCACAAAACGGGCGTCTGAGCGACAGCGGAACACTTTCAATGCACGACCCCCCCCCCCCCCCCCCCTCAGAATCCTAATACACGTCTAACACGGGGCTACTTTCCTCCACATACATGTTTATACGTACAGTATATATTCAAGAAATAAGACAAAATAGAGCAGCCGTGACATCCTTAGAGTTTCCTTCACTACGCAACACACACACACACAAGATACACACTATGTTCCCCCTTGTAGGATGTTAGTCGCTGGAACACAAAAATACGAACGTAACTAAGGAATGGATTAGTGCAATACAATAAAGGGAACGAGGGCAGAAGTGCTGGCGGGGGGTGTAGGGGGGGGGCGAGGGGGCTCGAGTGACTTCCTTTGGTTTATCATCGCTGGGAGGAGAGCGGGAGGGAGGAGTTGTGTGTGGATGTAGAATTAGAACGGGTGGAGGCGGCTGGGAGTCGGTCGGAGGGGGCGTGTCAGCCGACGCACCTCCCTGGTCGGGTCGGTTCTGAAGGAAAACACTTTATGAGCAGATCCCCCTAAATAACGCACGCCGCTTTAAAAGGGCAAACATCGCTCGGCTCGCCGGAGGTGTGATGCTTTTCATGCACGTGGATTACCTGAATATCTTTGGTGACTGTCGGGTGAACAAAACAAGATACTTGAACATCCCCGAAACCATACGAGGCAATTTCATAATTTCTTCGTTTCGCCCAAAACGAAACGACTTCACAGCAATGAAAACAATAATCGGTTTGTCCACGATGGCGTCGGGATTACGGGCACACCTGACGCCTGAAGCTCGACCTGCGAGTCGTAAGGCAAGTCACAGGGAGCAGCGTGGGGGGGGGGGGGGAGGAAAGGGGGGAGGAAGGGGGAGGAGCCTCCTCGGGGTTGAGTTTCTCGACTCGAAGCAGCTTGTTTGGTTTGATTGCCTAAAAGCCTCCTTAAAAAACAAAAAGGAAAAACAACAACAACAACATCTCACACACACACACACACACATTTATCCAGTTATCACTCGCGTCCCTCGTTCTCACGCCCCCCCCTCCCCTCGCCGCCCCCCCTCGCCGCCCCCCCGAACCTGCTTCCTCGAGAAGGCAGAAAAAGCTCAGATTGCTGAGAGAAATCACAGCTGATGAATGAATCCTCATCCGAATCTCATCCATCACATCAACATAAAGGGATCTGTGCTTCATAGTGTGAACCCCCCCCTTTTCAATCTCAGGTGTAGTCCCTCAGCTCCCTCAGGAGGGGGAGGAGCTTCGTCACGGTCGATTCAGGCCCCGCCCTCCTCTCCTACTGCAGGTTCTTCAGGATGCGCCCGAAGCGGAAGTCGTAGACGTGGCGGCAGAGGTACACCAGCTCGGGGTCGACGTCCGTGGGCACGCAGCGGTGGAGGGGGGGGGCGAAGTCGGGGCGGCAGGGCACCACGCTGGCGCTGCCGGGCGGGGCGCCTTCGGCACGCCGCCTCACCAAGGCACAAAATCTGAAAACGAATCCATTAAAAAAGGAAAAAAAATCAGAAGTGTTTCTGTGGCTTTATTATGAAACCGAAGGATCCGTCGGAGCAAATGAAAGGTTGTTTCTTTCTCTCGGCGTGTGATGGCGGCGTGCGTTGCCGCGCCTCTACTCACCTACAGTACTGGGCCAGTGGGAGAACGTAGCATCGGTCTTCGATGCAGGCCACGCTGTTTTCGTCCTGATGCCGAGAGGCAAAGATCTCGTTCTGAAACCGACAGCGAAGGAACAGGGTCACATGAGCACCGGGGGCCCCAACGGCCCTCAGAGGAGCACGCAAGCGCCGCCCCCCCCCCGAGCACGCCGCTGTGGTCTCTCACTTCCTCACAGGGAAATTTAAAGGAACTTTGTATTATGAGAATTTGTGTAATGGACCACGACCACGTGAAATAATCAAGTAAAGGGTTAAAACTCAAGTGAGCCGATGAATAAATGTTTGGCATTTCTTTCATGTCTGCTTGAACTTGGTTTCTTAACGAGACACTCGGCGATACAGGAGTGGATGAAAATAGTTTATCTTCAAATGTGTTCATTAAATTCTGGACCAAGTGGGTCAAATATGGAAAACCCCAAAGGGCCAAACTGAGAGGAGGAATCGATGCACAACACTGCAATGTACTCTTCATTTAGCAATTATTCCGTTTCCTTTGATTTGTTTTCACTGTTTGCACTTTATTCCTCCCGAGATGAACAAAAATGAGAGCATTTCAAAAATAAAGTCGATGTTTGCAAGGAGAGTTCATTGCATTTAGAGGCATTGAGATGTTAATCATCACTATGGAGTCAAGTAGTCATTGTGTAAGAAATAAAACATGATTTTATGAACACTAAAATGTTTGTTTGAACTGCACACACTCCACATTACGCGCTGGCCTACCTCCATTATTTGTTTTAACATAAGTAAGAGAAGACGAACCGATCCTCACCTCACAGTGTGCGCTGGGGTCTCGGCCCCCCTGTGTGTGCTCGGGTCGGTAGTACCAGAATAGACTCATCATCAGCTCTCCTGGGGGACACACACACACACACACACACACACACAGGCAAGGGTAAACAACCATGTCGTCCTTCGTCCATCCATCGTATCCCCCCCCCCCCTCCTTACCCGTTTTGGGGTCCTCCCACAGCGCCGATATCTTGGCGACATAAGGGAGGGATTTCTTCCGGGGGCCCGAGCGCAGCAGCACGGTGTCTCTGATGTGGATCACTTCGCCGTCCCTCTCCACCCCTTCGTAACACTGCCGGGGGGCCGTCTCGTCCTCTCCCTGAGACACACACACACAACACGGATGTGATCCTCATTATTAAAAAGACGAAAGCTGTGTGGTGGAAACACAATCCCCCCCCCCTGGAGATGATGCAGGCGGTGTCCACGGTTTCTGTGTTGTCGGTCGTACCGCGATGAAGACCTCCCTCTCCGTCGGCGTGCCGACGGGCCTCCAGCCGTTGGTGGCGCGTCTGCGGCCGACTCTCCTTTGTTTGGCGGCGCCGAGGCTCGGCGGGGGGGGTGGCGGCGGCTGCTGCTGCTGCTTGTGGGTCAGCCCCGCGCGCCCCACCGTCAGGGAGCCGGCGGCGGGCCCGTTGCCCCGGGGGCACTCGCTGGCCAGCTTCAACCGGGCCTGGGGCCGGTCTCGCCCCGACAGGGGGGTCAGCAGGTGGGGTCGAGTCTGGGTGGAGGAGGGCGCGGCGGAGAGAGGGCAGCTGGAGAGGGGCAGCGCGGGGAGGGGCAGGAGAAAGGGGCTGTGGTCGCCCTGAGGGGAGGAGTAGCCCTCTGGGGGGGGGGTAAAAGAAAAAGCACTTTTAAAACCACAGAGCAGGAAGAAAAGAGTTGAAATGTTCACCTAGATGACGTCATCTTTCACAACTAGAATTAATTTTCTCATTTTGATCCTTTATTTAGCATGTGAGGAGACCTTTACCTCCGAACCCTCATCACCTCGAGCAATTCTCTCAATATTTAACAGTATCAGACTTTAACTTTAGATGCTGCGTCCATAAGAATCAACAAACTGCAAGCTTATTATGTAAATCAGCTTAAAAACAGTACTCTTCTTTTATCTTTTCATCAGTCCAGCGATGTATAAACACACATATTAACACACAGAGCTCCTTATCGAGGAACATCAGTCTCAGCCTGAAGCCTCCAGAGCTCATATCAACAGAAGAAACTTCACAGGAGGCCTGAGGCCAACAACAAACTCCTGTCAGGAGTGACACAATAATAGTGACTCACCTGTCTTGATGCCGCGCGTGCACCCGGCGCACCCGGCGCTGAAGGAACAGCCCCTGCTGGCGACGGGCGCCATGGCTCTGCAGGCGTAGCCCCCCATCCCGCAGGCCTCGCCGTAGCAGCAGGCCGGGTGGGGCCCCAGCAGCTTGGGGGCCGCCACCCGGTCGGGGCACAGGCCGGCGGGTGCAAAGTTCAGGGGCCGCGAGGCCAGGCCGGCCGACGTGGTCCCGGCGCGCGCCGGGTGGGCGATGTGGACGTAGTAGCTGGAGAAGCAGTGCTCGGCCGTGCAGAGGCACGGGTGGGGGCTGAGGGTGAGGGCGGCGTGCGGCGAGGTCACCAGGCACTCGCGCTTCACGGGCGCCGCGGCCGAGGGGAGCGGCGGCGGCGGCGCCGCGGCCGACGCCCCCCCGCAGGGCCGCTGCCCCAGGAAGAAGGCCAGGCGGTGGCAGTACTCCACCGAGCTCTCGGGGGGGCAGCAGTAGTAGGGGCTCAGGTCCGTCTCCAGCGGCTCCTCCTTCACCGGCTTCAGCGGGTACGCCAGCACGCCGCGGGACTGGTAGCCCGGTTTGGTCAGCCGCCGGGTGTCCCACCCCGCCGCGGGCTGGAAGTCCGCCTCCGTCTCGCAGGCCGCGCAGCCGCCGCCGCGCGGGGGAGCCGCCTCCCCCCCCCTCTGGCCCTGCGGGCGCCCCTTGCGTCTGACCCGGGTGGGCCGCTTCGACGCGACGGTGGCCGCCGGCGCGTTCTTCACCCTCTGCTTGCTGGTGGCGGAGGAGCTGGTCAACTTGAGCAGGGCCGCGGCGTTGAGTCCGGCCAACCTCCGGGGGGCGGGGGCGTCCAGGCTCTCCTGACTCACCGCCGCCGCAGCCCGATTGGCCTCGGCCTTCTGCGCACGCTCGGAGCTTTGGCGGCGCCCGTGTCCGCGAGATGCGGGGGTCTTACCGGCGTTCCGTCGCGCGGCCTTCGCGTCCGCGGGGCCGCCTGGATTCGCGTGCAGGGACGTCCCGGCGTTGGGGGGCCCCGCCTGCCTCCTGGCCTGCTTGGCCGCCGCCTGGGTCTCGGTGGCTCTTTCGAGCAGCAGGCTGTTCACCGCCTCGGCGTTGAGAGACGCCAGCCTGCGCTTGCGGGGGGGCGGGACACCCAGACACTCCGCGCCGCCCCGGCTGCTCGACTCCGGTCCGGTTTTTGGTGAAGACTTCGCCGCTTTCCTTTTGATGCTTGTCAACTTTTTGGGCCTGGGTCTGACGGGCGCCCGTTCTCCAGAACCCTCCCGCTCTCGCACGCTCTCCTCGAGTCGGGTGAGGAGCACGTGGCAGCTGAGCCCCTCCTCTTCCTCCTCCTCCTCCTCGGACCCCGCAGGCCGCCCGCGCAGCGGGTACGACTTCCTGTCCCGTTTGTGGTCGCGCCTCCGGTCCAGTTTTCTGTTCTGATCCGACCTTTCCGTCCTCCCCTTTTTGCCGCCGGCCCTCTTGGCCGCGACTTTCCTTTTCCTGATGACCTCGGCTATCTTCTTCGTCCTCCCGAATCGGAGCGAGCGCTCGGGCGCGGCGTCGCCCATGGCGCCGCCTTGCGTCCAGAGATGGCGGCTGTCCCGCCGCTCGGCCGCACCGCCGAGGGAACCCTTCTGCCTGGCGTGAGTCATGACATGCTTCTCCGCGGGGCCTGGAGATAAGAGACCAAGAGGAGTCCGTCTCAGTTTCACTGCCTGCAATGTTCACCAACCTTTTCTCTTTTATATGCAAAATTCTGAGGCACAAAGAACATGAAAGCAAGCGACGAGACGCGAGCGCAGCGGAGGTATCGACTCCCTCGCGTCGGGTTAAGAGTCAAACCCCGACGTCTGCTGCAAGGAGTTTAACGCTGAGCGAATGTGGTGCGAATGTGGTCATTCGTTCACACTCGCGTGCTCACAGCGGCCCGGCGCAGACAAGCGTTATTGGTCGGAGATGTTCAGGCCCGACAGGGAAATGTCCAGAGGACGTTCGGACCGAGGGAATAAACAAGCCGGCTTCTAGTATCATCTAAATGTTGACATCATGTAGAGGGAGAAGCGTGTGCACACACACACACACACACACACACACACACACACACCGTCACCCTCCCTGAGCTTTGAAATCATTTAGCTATCAAAGCTAATCAGCAACAAACAATTAACTTGGGAATATGCTTTTTTTGTTTTAAACTCCCCCGTGGCTCAACATAAACAGACGAATTACTCACTTTTATGTTTACGTTCTTTGAATAACGGCCATATACAGATCATGGGTATACTTCACGTGGTCTCTGGGTCTGGGTCATAAAGAGTTATTTTCTGCCTAATTAAAGCGGTAAACCTGTAACGATCTGCATTTCAAAACAGAAACCAAAATAAAAAAATCTGCAGCACGAAGGAAAACACAATTATGCATTTTCCACCATTCAGCTTTCTTCTTGTAAACTGAACCGAGGGTTTCTCTAACGAGAAAGAGTCAGAGCTTCTTGTTCTACCACATTACTTCCCTTAATTAGCTAAAATCGCTTAACGAAACCCCCCCTCAAAGAGGCACTACACACTAAACTCAACACACTTTTGTTAACATGAATTTAAACAGGTGGGTTGTGTTTCTAACTAAGTGTGTAAAAGAAACCTGTTCTTTGTGTGTGTGAGTCCAAGACTATCCAGTTGATTATTTATAAGAAGGAAATATCTTTATAACTGAAATGTCTTATTATCTATTATCTTTTCCCATTTAATGAGTAGAAATATACCATTTGTAACAAGACGTCTGAACATTTCATTTCTCAGATATCCTTTTGCGATCTCAGACATTAAAAGAAAATCTATTTTCTCTAGTTCTTAGTAATAAAACATCAAATAACTGGATGAAGTGTGAACAAGCCCCTTGGTGGATACAGAAGTGAATGAAGATGTCTGCCGACGTGGAGACTCAAACAAAAGAGAAGAATGTTTTCGCATTTTGACGCCGCGGTAACACAATTAACTATGATTGATATAACGATATCAAGACGAAACACCCACATTTGATTATTCAATGTTTTCCTTCCGGCAGTCTGAAGGAGGACGTGACACGACACAGCGAGACGGCAGCGAGCGCTTTTGGCTCCCGTTCAGAGCGGCAGGTCGGCGTGAGGCTCCGGGCTGAGATCTTTGGCCCGACCGACGAACAGTCGAAGCCCGACACGACTCCTCAGACGTGTCGGGCTTGGTCTGAATGTGCTCGTGCAGCGCGAGACGCCACGATGGACGCCGGCGCCGCGGCGTAGCCCGAAGGGTTTGGTGAGACTGCGACTTTCTGAAACACGACTCCCCTTTTCTATTGCCTTTCCCAAAGGGATCCATTATCATTTCTACCCCCGAATCTTGTGTTTTTCCTCAGAAAACACAAATGTTGCATAAAGTTTGAATACCTTTAAACAAAAGAAAGCAGAGTAACAACTCGTAGCGTGTAAATGATGATGTTCGACACCACAATGTGACAGATTGAGCTCCCACCGCTGACCAATGACCTACATCCTGCTCTCCATACATCCACAGGCCTTTTTTTTTTTCTCTCCAAACCACAAAAATAATTTTCCCCCGAGCTGTTTTTTAGTGGGTCTCGTCTGAGAAGCGTAGGTGGGGAAACGCTGGAGGGAATAACCTGCGAGATATCATCTCATGCGGCACTGAGGCCTCGTGACCCCCAGGAAGTAATCTCACTTTTACGGGGGGGATCAATGACCCCGGCGCGCTGCGTCGCTAATTGGCCGGAAAACCCACCATCAACTTCTTTCCGAGCTTCAAACACCGAGCACGCCGGGATGCTTTTTCTTTATAATTGATAAGACTTTCAAGATCTCCCGGGGCCCCCGGAGGAGATGCGTGTGGACCAGATGATCACATGAAGTGACTGATCTGTGCACTCCATTCATCTCTGTGAATCTGCCGTTGTGAAGAAGCCATCGACACAAACGCTAAATGCTTCAGTCCGACTCCCGAGTCATCTACAGGCCGATCATTGAAGTCATTTCCTAATGACAATGCAACGGTGACAGGAGGCAAAACTGTCACGCAACGTGAGTTCGAACACAGAGGAGACCAGCACTCAAGATGAGAGTCACTTTGAGAATATTATATTCAAACCAACAGGCCACAAGTTCAGCATATTAAGCAAAGTGGAGGCCAAACGATGTGTCCCTGGTAGTTTTAAATAAAAAACACCTGAGAGCTTCAGGTGGATAAATACTTAAAAAATGGAGTAATTCATAGCAATTACATGATTCATTGATTATAGTTTGCTATTAAAGTGACAGTTCACCCTTCAAACCTAAAAAAGCCCCCTTACCTGCAGACACAATTATCAATCTAGATTTGTTGGAGCAAGTTGCCTACTTTTGGAGACACCGTCCGCAGACATGTCGGCCTTCTCTCCAATATAATGGGACCTATGTGGCAGCTCGTGGGGCTCAAAGCCCCCCCCAAAAAAAAAAACATTGGGTAAACTTGACGGCAATGTCTCGCTCCAGAAGTCAAGACCCGATTATCCAAGATAATCCAGACGTCCTTGTGAGCAGTTTCATGGAGGTTCTGCCTGCTAATACAGTACAGTCACTAATTAGTTCCTGAACACCTCTTTTATGTCTCTGAACGTCTTCAAATGGGACAAATTTAAAGGGGGACATTTACTCTGACCCGTTCTCTGTAATTCCATCGTTTATGATGTCAGGGGTGCAGGCTTGGCTTAAGTGTAAAGTGTCTCAACGCATCTTCGTTATCTTTCCAATAAGCAACACGTGCACCTCGGTGCAGATCCCCTCGGTGACACAACCGCCACCAGCTCCTCGTCAGCCGATATGTTACACCTGTAAATAACCAGTGAAATGTCTCCTCCTTTCAACTGTCAGGTAGAAGAAGATCATCATGCATAGAGAATATGAACATGCATAAAGGATATGACCATAGAGGATATGAACATGTATATAGAATATGTCATGCATAGAGGATATGAACATGCATAGATAATATGAACATGGAATATGAACATGCATGGGGGATATGAACATGGAGTATGACCATGCATAGAGAATATGACCATGCATAGAGAATATGGATATGGAATATGAACATGCATAGAAGATATGAACATGCATAGACATATGAACATGCATAGAGGATATGATCATGGAATATGACCATGTATAGAGGATATGAACATGCATTGAGGATATGAACATGGAATATGAACATGCATAGAAGATATGAACATGCATAGGCATATGAACATGCATAGAGGATATGAACATGAATAGAGGATATGAACATGGAATATGACCATGTATAGAGGATATGAACATGGATAGAGACATATGAACATGCATAGGGGATATGAACATGGAATATGACCATGTATAGAGGATATGAACATGGATAGAGACATATGGACATGCATAGGGGATATGAACATGCATAGGGGATATGAACATGTATAGAGGATATGAACATGGATGGAACATGTATAGAGGATATGAACACGGATAGAGACATATGAACATGCATAGGGGATATGAACATGGAATATGAACATGCATAGGGACATATGCAGCGGCTGAGCAGCAGGATGGGAGTCAGTACGTAGCTCTCCCATCTGAAGTAGCCAGCCCGGCTCTAAATATGGGCTGGATAGAGGAAGGGGGGGGCGCGCGCTACCCGAACACACACAAACACACACGCGCACACAAAAATAAAGGGCAGCCACCCCTCCTGATCACATTCTCTAACCCGATTCCTTACTACCGACACGGTGGCTGCTGTGATCCCGGTCCTTTAGTTGAGCGCAGGGAGGATATGCACGTAGAACAGCCCCCCCACCTCCTCCACCCTCCTCCACCACCCTCCCGTGTATCGCTTCTGGTGCACGAAGCAGGAGGGGGAAAAAGGCTTCCCAGAGCTCCTTCTCTGTCGGAGCAACTTCAAACATTGAAAAGGCCGAATAGCAACAAACAGGCGCGCGGGGAACTTACGGCTCGCCGACGTCCTCGTGCCGACTGCCGGGCACCGTCGAGCGGATCTGCGGGTGAAGCGAGAGGGGAGGCGGTGCTGGTGGAGGTGGTGGAGGTCGGCGAGGGAGGATAGGGGACTGGTGCGATGGCAGCAAACCGTGAACTGGGAGCGCTGGGGAGGAGTGGAGAGAGGACGGTCGGTGGCGCTGCGCGTGTGTGTGTGGTTGTGCGCATGTGTGCGCGTGTGTGTCTGTGTGCGAGCTCTTCCTGGTTGGGCTTCTAAACCCAATTTTAAAAAAAATGAGCAGAAAACTTCATCTGAACGGATTTCGGGGCGGCGGGTTCCACGCGGGAGCGACGCGCGAGTTCATTGCGAAGCAGAGCGATAAATGTAGAATTATAGATATTAAACTTGACATCGCAGCCGATGGACGCCCCCCCCCCGTCCCCCGACCCCCACCCTGTCATTTCACCACGTTACACCACCACGCTGCTGCGGGACTCCGAGCGAAGGAGAAACGCGTTAAAAGGACGTTTCAAACCGGGTCCACGGTGGAGAAACTTCCCCCTGAACGAAGGTTCGGGTGAAGCTCTTCACGACCCTGCAGGTGTTGAGAAATCCATTAACACTTAAAAAAAAAAAAAATATATATATATATATATATATGGATTTCTTTTTTTACAGATTTGAATCTTGTTTATGAAAAGAAAATGTAAAGGAGGTTTTAATGAACCCTCTGAGGGGATCGGAACCGGTTATTGGACTTTTCATTCCCGATATCGATGGCAGAGTTTTGGGTTTCGGGCCGATACCGAGTAGCGGTGTGATACAAGTGTTTAATTAACCATCTGTACGTCTCACTGTGTCAAAGACACCCGGATCGTTCCTTTCATCTGTTAGGAAACATCGGGCGTTAAACACGTTAACACCTTAACTTTATCAGACAAAATGTCACAATTAAATTGAAATGACTGAATTACTATCGATTAATAAAATAATAAATATTGTGCCAGAATCAGGAATCGCAAACAGATTCAAACCAAACTTTTAGTGAGCAACAAATTGGTGTGATGCCTTTTTATTAAAGCAGCCTGTTGTAGCTGAGTATTAAACAAAAGGAGACAAGCTTTCTTTTGTTTTCTGTGGGAGCTTTTATGGGAACGTGGATCCTCCCGATTCATTCGAGGAGGCCTCTGGTTCTACTGAAGTCTGGCGTCTCGCTCTTTATACACTCTGGTCTCGGCTAAGCTGGTCTGGAACACTGCATTTGATCCTATGCCATTTTAAAGACGAAATACAGTTTCAAAGCCTCGGGATTTGAACAATCCCTGTGGAACTCCTGCTTCAAAAAAGGCTTCTTCAGAAGCAAAAAGCCCGTGCGGCCTCCGTCCCTCAGGAAGAACCTGATTGGATCGCCCTTAGATATGACTACACACTTACGTTCCACTCCTGCCTGTTGACAAAACAAGCGGCGGCAGAGAGAGGACCTCCGGTGAAGAGTATACCTGAAGGTCCCACACCAGCATAAAGTACTCCGTCACATTCCACCACTCTCCGAGCTTCGGATCAATTATTCATGTTCTCAAAACGATATCCGTTACATCACGTACGGCCCGATGCCGCTCCGCTGGCGGCGCGCTGGCCGTCCTAACAAGGTGCGGCAGCTGTGGAGGCCTTCGTTTTGAGCGGGAGGGGGCCCGTCGACACCGCCGGCTGCACCGTCACCAAGGAGCCGCAGAGTTCCAGGTGATCCCCTTCAACCCTGCTCGGCAATACGATTAATCATCAGACTACATGAAAATTAGGAGAAATAATTACCGGCGTTTATTTTGTCTGTGATTGTGGCCATTAAACGGAAGGCACACCGCAACTTTAACACCCGGAGCAATATTGGTTTCATTGGTTTTAACTGCAAGAGACGTTCAAAAAGCATTTCTTAGTGGTGTTTTTAATGCTCCAGATAGGTTTGAAGAGTCAGCTGGAGAATCACATCCTGACATTGATGAAAGCAGCAACTTTGCTACAGTTTCCAAACACCCGTTTTAAGAGCAAGAGACGGTGATGAAAGGGACAGATTATACATTTGCAGACACTTTTAAGGCATCAATTGAAACTCTTCACAGAGCGACCGTAACGAGGCTTTTTGTGGTGAGGAGAAAGATAATAATCAAGATTAAATTGATCCAATCAGTAGGCCCACAAAGAACTAAATCTTATAAAACAGGATGGGATGTAGAGTGGATTTAAGAACATGTCGTCACCGACTGTAACCCTAAGTTTGTTTTCCAACCCTCTGTTTTATGAGAAATAAACTAGCTGGACATATTGAACATTAAATATAAACTTCCTCCACGGTCATCAACAACAATGTCACCCACCTCTTGGGGAAAAACAGGAATGAAAGAAGCTGCAAAGCCTCCGGTTAAATCCAAATAAACACTCATTTGGTAGCATGTCAGAACTTCATGAGGCGATTAAATGTCGTGGCCTCCAGGCAGATACAAAAAAAAAAAAACTTTACTGTAGTTGCCACAGTATCACATTACATTTTAAATAATACCGAAGGAAACTCCTGTTCTGAGAGGTGAAGCCAATGCAGAAAGGGCTTAAACTGGCATTCTTCTAATGGCCAGCAGGGGGAGACTCGTCTGGTGCAGAAGGAAGTGTAATAGACCTTTAAATCAAACCAGCATTAAATACTGCATATAAATGGTGGTCCATTTAGAACGAAATGGACAAGTAGGAAAAATCTCAGTTAGGAGGACATGTGAAAAATAATGACAGCTGAGGGTCAGAAGCGCAAGATGACTTGTGTCTTATGTTTTTGAGGAATCTCCCCGATGAGTTTTCCTATTTTTGGTCATTTCATAATTAATTCCATAAGCATCCGCCCACCGAGAAAAAGAAAGAAAAAGTGTGTGGTGAAACTTTGTAACTCGGCAGAGACGGATCGCTGAAAGTGACACCCGGAGGCGATGCGACCTCTGTCCACATTCAGCTTATGCCCCAAAGCACGACACACACACACACTCACAGACACACACACAGCGAAACCGACATTCTTCACTCAGGTGTCCCACATCTCATCTGGCGGCTCGGAGCTGAGAGCAGACATGAAAACATTATTTACTTTGCACAAGGAGCTCGGCGGGGCTTTGAAAATGTGCTCAACAATCCGGGCAGAGCTTCTGCTTGGAGGGCAACCACGGGTTAATTATAAAAATCAAACATTTATCCCCATGACGGGACGCCGCCACGGGTGTTAAGGCTTTACGTGAGAGTAATGTGCGGGGCATTGATGTGGTATGAAAGCCGTCCAGCAGATGGGACTCATTCCGGAGACGGGAAAGGAGAAGCAGGTCCGGGGGTGTCCTTCGGCGCGATGACACCGAAGGAACATGAAGAAGCGTTTGATCCGATGAAACCCGGCGACCGTGACGCTAATCCCGCTCCTGATCAGGCAGGTACGCGAGGCTGCTCGACGCACACATGGATGCACAGAAGGTTCGATTCTGTGTTACACCCAAATTAAGTTAAGGGTGCAGCGGGTGAAGCGGATCAAAATACTTGCAATAGATCCAGAAGATTAACCCCCGTATACAACCATTACGTACACTCATGCCGTACACCGTTAGCGCTGTTAGCACCGTTAGCTGTGTGCAATTGTCGCCATGTTGTCGTGAGTCGTGTTGTACTTTGTGGCACTAAAAGGAAAAGTTAGTTGGTAGTAAATGATTAGTGGAGGTGTACGTTTCGCCATTTAGGTTTTCGTCGTGTAGAATCCTCCCTTTTGGGTTTATAATTTTGTATCTGAGAGGAAATAATGACATTTTGGTTGATTTAGTCAACATAACTTTCATGTTCTCCAGAATTGTGTGCAAAGTTAAATTATTCATGCATGCACAAAGGGGGGGAAACTGTAATAAGAGCATTTATCTTGCCTCAGATTCGTGCAGCTTGTAGGTTTTTTAAGGCCAAAGTGGTGTAATTTGCAAAACTGAGTGCAAGTGGAAAAAAAAGCAGACAATTTAAATAACCAAACTATATGTACAAATACACAAGCTCCTCTACAGGCTGTGTCTCAGTGAGGAATTAGACTTGGATGTTGGCAGAGATACACTGATAATTCACAGTAACAGCGAAGTTATTAGTCCTGTAAAGCTATTTAACGGCGGGTCTGGGTGGGAGTCATTTGAACACTTCCATATTAACTTTTATGACACATATGATGACTCGGTGAGCCGGCGGGAGGCGTGTTGGGTCAGAGACAGCGTGTGGTAAAGAGGGGCTGAAGTAGAAGTCTGCTGAAGAAACTCCAAAAGATTAATCTTCAACTACAACAAACTAGTGTGTCAAAAGGTCTCGTGGCAGATCAGATTTTCTCCTTTTACGCTGCAGGATGGTCTCATGGCGAAGGTGAAGAATGAAAAGTTACGAGAGGGCAATTCATTTATATGCAAACAACAGGTTTGCAGTGATTTTTAATGCGTAGAAGGAACATTAATGGGCAAAAAACTTCTACTTAAACTGAGTGCTGATATTAAGATTGTATTTAGTTTTGTGTCTGATCCGCAGTCGTGGAAAGTCACCAAGTGCATCAACTCATTTACTCGAGGAATGAAGAATGTGTATTGAATATTTTAAAAAAGGGCTGTGTTTCAAGGCCGGATCAAAATGGTGACTTTACCGGAACAAGACTGATTCATTCAAAGCCGAGTTTCCAAGGACATTAGAAAACAAGCGGCATAAAGATAAAATAGAATCTACAACCGTTCAGTCACACTGGCAAACTCTCAATTGACATTTTATTCATCCTGTTGGAAAACCAGAGTTGGTACGAAGACGACTGACTATCGCATGACGGCATCGATCAGGTCCAAAGCGCAAAAACTCAGATATTTGCACGTTTCTTGGCTCATTAATAAACCCGCGACACCTTATGTTGATTTGCGGCCCCTTTCGAAGGGCCCGACCCTCAGGTTGAAAACCTCTAAACAACTCGACTAAAAGTAAAACAGAAAAAGTTCCACCATCGGCCAGCCGATATCAGTTGGAGGAGCATTGTTTCAGTCACATTACACAGAAACGATCCCGTTCTCTTCCCCCGCAGCGAGCCAGCGTATCAATCAAACAATGGTATCTAATCAGCATTCATTATCGGCCGATCCCTCAAGCCCAGGTTTCACTTTGGCATCCTGAGTAGAACCAACACTGCTACCAACACATCTATATATCGGTATTAAGAGTTTCATAATCTAAATGAATATTAACACATCAGTTGTGTAATAGGGTGCGCATGAAGCAACATCTCTGCTTCACATTGGGGCCTTTTTGCAATTTGGATGTTCAGTTCTTTTGACATTGTTGCATTTGTACTTTTTCTCAAGTGAAAGAGATCTGAACACTTCTTTCCACCACTGCTGGATAAATATTTAAACATGGGTTTCTGATGCACCGTCCCAATAGGAAAAATAGTAAAGTGAGTATTATCAGGGTATGTGCTATTTAATTGAACCACACACAAATCAAACTACACCTAAATGCATAGGATTGCAATTCAATGTCAGTCCAACATCTGCAGAAACAACAAACTGCCAACACACAGGAGGCGTTCTGTATCTTTATACATCAGTGTGCAAAGGCTGATTGAGGCATCCGACTGATTTCCCGTGAAAGCGTTTGGTCCAGTTTGCCCTTTTATGTGACCCGAGAGGACTTTGCTCGATACAAACAAGAATAAATAAAAAGCATTCCTTTTTTTTTTATCTGCCGAAGCTCATCCACTGACTGACTACCCACGAGGTTTATCTATGATGTCATACTATGTCATAGCCTTATGACCTAATTGGCTACCTGTGACGTGGGCTGATTGTGTCGGCCTACTTTTACCTGTGCAGAGCCACGAGGCCCCTTAAGGCCCCGCTCATCCCCTCTTAAGGTCCCCAAAGAGAGCAGTGCGAGCACGTGCAGAGGAATGACAATTAGTATTATTACCACAGGCTTACGTGCTGTAAAGTTTGTAGCACACACACACACACACACACACACATCCAGGTGAACACACCGCGCGTGCATCCAGCCAATCGCGATATTTAGTGAGCTCACTGCTGTGTCCCTTTACTTGACCTTGTTCCGGTCCATTCCGCGGACAAAGCACTATTATCGTTTTGACATTACACTTTGGAGGCGGGTGGAGGAGGTGGAGGGAGGGAGGGAGGGGTGGGGTGTGTGTGGGGGGGGGGGGGGGCTATGATAACACACATTGCATGGCCAGTCCTGCCGAGTACCACTCCCTGGGAATCTCCTACATCACCATGGCCATTATCTGCCTCTGCAACGTCCCTCCAGACGTGACCGAAAAAAAGCAACGCAGCGAAGGAGAGGCGCTCGCGCGAACCCGCACGTTCTCCGCCTGAATGCAAATAACAAGGAAACGGGCGAAGATGAGAGATGAATGTGGAGCAGCCGCTACTTACCGGGAACGAAGCTCCGCGCGCTATCGGGTCTCAATTCTTCAAACGGTGCGAGGAGCCAGTCGGGGCGGTCTGGTGGGGGTCTGGTGGGGGTCTAGGGGGGGGTCGGTGGGGGGGGGGGGGGGCACCTTATGTTCTCCAAACGGCTGTCTGGAGGCAAGTCAGCCGATGCAGCTCAAACTGGAGCCCCGGTGTCGCCACTCCGCTCGAGAGGAAAAGAGCTTTTTTTTCTCTCTCTCTTCCAAATATCGACGGGGGAGGAAGCGAAACTACTCCGGCGGCGCTGCTCTGCGAGGACGGCGGGGTTGTTGTTTCTTCTTCTTGTTGTTCTTGTTGTTGTATTTTTTTTTTTTTTTTAAATATCCCATCCACTCTCACGCGAAGCCCACGCGGGTTGTCGAGACCCAGGAAGAACAGGAGGAGGAGGAGGAGGAGGAGGAAGAGGAAGAAGCCCTCTGCGTGTTGCTGCTGGAGTCCGTGGACGCGGGGCCTCTACCCGGCACGCGCAGCGCTTCCAGGTTGGCCACCAGTCTGCGCGTTGAACAACAACGAGCAGCACAACATGACTGCCAGGCTGTGTGTGTGTGTGTGTGTGTGTGTGTGGTGGTCGGCTCGCCCCCCCCCCCCCCCCCCTCTCACGCAAAAGTGAAGAAATCCTCAGTAGAAAAAAAGTCTCCCCGGTCGCGTTTGAGAAGCGACACAATGTGCGTTTTACGTAACGAGCAGAACACCCTCGTCCCGCGACTCTGTGCGGGAACATGTGACGGCAGCGTGGTGAACCCTTTAAAGGGGTATCCGCGCGTGACTGCGGGCCGAGCGGGTTGCCTCTTCGGGGGACTCACCCCCGTCCACGTGGGGGGTTAATTGGACACGGTGGTCATGGCGGCACCTGTTCGCGAACCCGCGTTCCTCATGAGCTTCAGACCAGGAAGAGCTGCTTTGTAAGGTCAGAGGTTGCACGCGGGGGTTCGATAGCCCAAGAGTTGGTCAATTTACTAAATAGTCATGCATGATCCCCCAAAGAATGAATCAGATATTTATGAATAATAAATTAGCTTTATTTCGTGAGGTTACACAGAAAAATACATCATGAAAATGACGTAGAAGCTGAGCGATACAGGTAAAGAACAGGCAGGACTGCTGTGCACACATTTATCCTATTTTGCGTCACTTCAGCGACTAACCCTGGGGTCCGAAATCAAAACCTGGACACAAGTCAGGTGTAAGTCGTGAACAAAACAAATAGAGCAAATAAATAAATGGAGGCTGCCAAGAAATCCAAGGAGTGCCCTGAATTTATAGCACTGCATTAAAACTTTGTCCCTGGGTTTTAGAGGCTGCTAAATATTTTATTGTGCTTAATGAACATATTCCTACAACCAGGGGTAAGATTTTTTTGTTTTTTCGTTTTTCAGCAGAGGGGTTTGGTTCTTAAGCCTAGTTTGTGCTTCTGCGTTTTTAGAGCGACGCAGACGCAAGACCCCCTTGCGTGTCCCTTGCGTCGCTTTTCACACCTCCTTGCGTCCTTGCGTGTGTCGACCCATTTTTCTAGCGCACCAGGCTGCGATTGGTCCGCTAACTACGTCCTTTACGGAGTCTCACATTTCCGCTTTCATAGCCCGACACCGCCATTATTAAAACGAAGAATGTTTACGAGGGATCAGATCGAAGAACTTTTGTCAGTAGAAATGCGTAAATGTGACCGCTTATACGAGCCGTCATTGGCGGGTTATAGAAGCGGGTTGGATTCACGGAGGGAGATCGAGGTGCACAAAGTTGTGGAGGAAAATACGGGACAAATGTGTCCGCGATGAGAAGCAGCAGTGTCGATGCACGGGGCAATAAAGTCTATGATAAATAAACAAACAAATAAATAAACAGACGTGACTCTCTAGGTCGTCTTCAACAAAACACGTCACCCCGCCTGTTGTTCTGGCGGTGAATCGCTCTGCAACACACGCAAGACTTTTAGAACCATGGATTGAAACGAGTGCGTCGACGCAACGACGCAGACGCATGCGCCGGCCTTTAGGGATAAAATGAAGCGTGCAGAGTGGGAGGCCACATTGATGTCTTTATTCAACCCCCTTTGAAACTGAACGTCTGTGCTGCAGTCACTTCTCTCTGTAGAGATTCTGCAAGCTGCTCCAGGACGCTTGCTGATGTCGCAGTTGAAACCACTACAATACTTTGCCTTGAGCAGTGAAGTTAAAGCATTCGAGTGGTGAAATAGTAGAGAGTCTGGAACCACAAAACATAATGCATTATATCTCTTCATGCTCCTTGTTGGTTGTCCACAATCCACAGTGCATCTGAGTTTTTAAGTCTCCTCTACACACCCCTCACACCTTCACACTTAATTAACTCCACAGGTGGTTCTTTTTTTAACAGCTGAGCATTGAAATTTGCTAATCTGGAAATTAAATGTACTTCTGGAGGAGCAACATCTTATTTGTGGGACTGGAAGCATTTTTTTTGCCTCCCGGCGGCTCTCAACAATGGCGACTTCTGATCCAGCACATCACAGCTAACGTTGCTAACAGTGCAAACTACAGCCAAAGTGGTGAGTGCAGAGCAAACAGTGGGGCGGCGGAGGCAGAGAATGGGTGGTGTTGGTCAGGGCGGGGAAACTCTCTGCTCAGGCAGACACTACTTCCATCTTTCTTTACAAAGCAAATAGCTGTTCGCTGCAATATTAATACTCTGAATATTGAATCAAGCACCTTTAACTCAGGGATTAGAGTAGATTCATTTTGATTGCTGCAGTTTATTAACATTTAGATGAAATTTTAATCAACTTTGCAGCTGAGGTGCCAACGCTCAAGTCTGAGTTAAGTCCGAAATAACAGTTTCTCAGGTTTGACTTCAAATAATGACGATCATACACCAAGTTAGGTCTTCAGTCCTTATGGGCCTGACCCTCCGCTCTAAACAGACCATACAAGAACTTTATAAAAACGTTGAATTCCAGACAGTATAACATTTAAAACTCCCAAGGTGTGGAGGTCTTGATCTATTCGAGTCATCGATGCTCATCTCAAAAGTGATAAAAGCAGAATCCACACAGACTCAAGTTGCATCAAGGAAATCAACAGCAACTCAGTCAATAACAAAGGAGGACACAATTGTGTTTACATCTATTAATAGGTGTCTTCACAATTTGTTATTAACTCTTTTGGTACGTTTTTTAACTGTAATCCTTCGGACCCTTATTCCAATTAGAGGCTCAAGGTGGGCGGAGCTACGGTGGAATCATCATGGCATCATTTCAACAAACCAACTGACTCAACCAAGTGACCCTCACACCCTTAAACTGTATTTTAGGAGAGAGTTGGTGATTTATATGAAGGACGTGTTCAAAGAACTGATCCCCAACAAGTGTGGGAGCTGGGCGAAAACATCCTGTTGTTTTCCAAGTCCAAGCCGCCGCCTCTTCCTGTAGCCCCGAGTCGCCGGAACCAAGTCCCACGATTCCTGAAGTGCTTCTGGTCACGATTGTGGTGAGAAACAGTCCGTACCTGCAGGTACTGGGCACTCAGCTTTAATATCGAGCAGGTCCCTTCAAGTCAAAGGAAAGGGTAAAGGAAACAACCCTCTCAGAAAGCAAAGGCACTGCCAATGAATCAAGGAGACAGCGGCAGGCCGAATTTCCATTAGATGTCCCTGGTTCCTCTTTGTCTTGCAGGATCTGGGGTGATCAAGCAAGTACAAGACGTTAGCGCGGCTGTAGACTCCTTCGTAGAACCGCTAAAATATGCTGCATATATTTATATTTGATGCCAAACCGAAGCAAAAGTCCATGTTGAAACAACAGTGATTGGTAGTGCGTCGTATACGTTTCAAAGGAATGGCAGATGCAAAGCTAATATATTGCCCCCTTGATCAAATGAAACAATGAAAATTGTTCAGCTCTGCGATTGATAATCATTGAACGGTAAAGAAGGACTTGACTACACTGTGCAGTGCACGGCTTATCCTCAGTTACACACACACACAGACACACACCAGGAGGGATTCACAATTAAGCTGAGTCAGGATGCAGGGCTTGATTGAAGAGAAAGTGTTCTAGACGACGCTCTAAGGAAAGAGACAAGCTGGAACATGAACTGGTTCTGGGTCCAGAAGCTCCTCCCCGCTCCTCTCGTGTCTTTTCCTCTGTCGGTCCACCACACACACAGATTACTTATATAATATTTGAATTAATATAAGGCTAAAGGAAAGACATATTCCTCCAAACCAGCTCACGTTGGTTTTATAGGGTGACTTTGTCTCTAACTGATTCAGTTCTTCTCTCCTCTTCGCAGAATCTAACATTCTGAAAAGGGAGATTCTCACTTTATTGGTTTTATTTAGAGACACTGCAGAACTCCTGAACTTCTAGCCTCAGCTGCTATCGTTTCCTCTCAGAATGATGGTTATTTTCTAAATAGATACTGGCAAAGTATGTATGTGCACGAGGTCCAGATCAAACACTTTACATCGCTGCTCTTTTTCTATCTCGGTATCTCAATTGTATGTCTTTTACTTCCCTCAAGAGGTGACAAAACGCTTTGACATCATCCACACAAACGGTTTTACACCTCAAGTCAATGACTGAATACAGAAATATTTCTCAAGTTACAAATGGCGGATGTCACTACTGACTCATGTTCGTGCCTCCCTCGTGTTCTCTCTTTCTCCGAACCCAGAAGTCCCCCCGGTGGTGTTGGGAGACCACGACTGCATTGGGGATAGTTCACAGTTACGACTCTTTTTTCCCAAATCAAGTAGGGAATCATCCGTACGGTGATGCTCTCCTAAAGCGTACGATGAGGTTTTACATCATCCCCTCAAAATGTTTGATGCCTCGGAGTAAAGACACACCACTGAAGTTTAATAGTTTATAGAGGAAGTGTTGAGGAAAATGTCGTTGGTTGATTCTTTGGCTTATGACACAGTCTATGTGCCATAAGTCAAAGACCGAGCATGCAAATAAAACCACAGAATGATAAAAGCCAGCCGAGGAACCAGTGTCAAAGGATGTAAATGAGCTCTTGCAGGAATTGCAGTTGGTGATGTCAGCCCAGTGGAAATAAAAAATAAAAAAGACCTGCTTTAAATCTTACTCTGCGCTGGTCTCAAGATGAAGCTCTGAAAAGCTCAGAGGTAAAACTTTAATGACTCCCAGCCCTCAATGTTTCCAGCCTCCCGTCTGTAATGAGCACAGCCAATCAACGAGCTCGATTCTCTGCACCTTCGAGGACTCGATAACAAGGCGTTCTGGTCAAGAGAGACGATGCAAAACTCCTCTCTTCCCCGTCGGCTGCTCGAGAGGAGCGCGCTTGTTTTTGTGTGATCTCGCTCACACTTTCAACGATGGTTGGTCTTTCCGTCGACCTCCTGGGCTTGAAAGTCTTCATCTTGTGCGTGGGACTTATGGGTAATGTATTTCTCATGGTCGCCGTCGCGCAGACCAAGTTTCCCCGGGTCAAATCCTTTGAGCTGTTCCTCTTGGGACTGGCCGCGGCCAACCTGGAGGAGATCGCCATCACGACCGTCTTCGACGTGGACTTCCTCCAGGCTTCCTCCCGCGGCGTCGACACCTGGTCGTGCCGCTCGCTCAAGTTCCTGTCGAAGTTCGGCGAGGTAGCCAGCATCTTCTTCACCGTCCTCATCAGCGTCTTCCGCCAGCAGAAGCTGAGCGACGCCGCCAAAAGGGCCAACCTTCCGATCTACCTGGACAGCATCGGGTCAGCCCGAATGGCGAGCGGGGTCTGCGTGCTGCTCGCCACCCTGCTCAGTCTCCCCGTTTTTGCCATCGAACCCAAAGAGCCTGCAGGGAACGCCACGGGGAACGCCACGGGAAACGCCACGGGGAACGCCATCGGCTGCCCGCCAGACTTCTTCCAGTGCAGCAAAAGCCGCTGCCCTGCGCTCAACGGCCTCTATAAACACGTCTTCATCCTGGTGTGCAACCTCCTGCCTCTGGCCGTCGTCACGGTTACCGGCTGCCTCATCCTCGCGGTGCTGCTGGGCCAGAGGTCGACGGTGACGCCGGCTTCGGTGGGCAGCCGGAGCGGAGGTTCGACCCTCCGTCGAAGCAGCGTGGCTGTGCTGGCGGCCATGGGGTTGTTCCAGGTGGAGTGGACCCTCTACCTGATCCTGCAGCTCACCGCCGTCTACGTCGACTTTGCTTTCCGGGCCGAGGCGGAGCTCCTCATCTCGTTTTCCTACACATGCATCAGTCCGTACGTGTACGGGATTGGGAACGACCTGTTCTCTCTCAAGAACTTTAAGAGGAACTAACCTAAAAAGCGATGAGCTCTGATGTTTTTGTAATTAAGCTGAAACAAATAACATAAGCTTTTTGTTTGCTGAGAAATGCCATTTTAATTACACGTCATAAAGTCATAATTATGTTTTCTGAGTGGTTCAGGGAGATACGGGTAAATGATTTCATGCTGAGACACTTTATTAGCTTCCTAAAGCTTTATTTGTTTTGCAGTTCAAATCTAATGTGAAGTTTAAATGTTCATTTGGTGCTTCATTTTTCAATTTAGCTGTTTTAATCAAAAGTATACATTATCAAAGCTTTCTATATTTACAGAAAAACAAACAGCCTTATAGCCAATGCCCTTTTTCTTAATGAAAATAATAAATGTATTTGCCTTCTTACAGCCCTGCATTTAGAGAATGAATTGTTTTTTCTTTACTTCTTTTTAGTAATTTATCACTTCTCTCTCAGTTTTATTCGAGCTTTGGTAAGAAAGCTGACGTATTAGTCCTGGTGGTTTCACTGTGGCCAGTTACTGTGACTAAAGAGATCGGAGATTGAGGGTAAATGTCTATAACACGGGGTTACATTGTGGCCTATGAGAGAAAAAACAACAATGGAGTTGTAAGAAATGATTTAGAAGACCAACACGTACACGATGCACCACAGAAAATACTCAATAACACCACGAGGCTTGACAGTTGTGACAGAAGCTCACAGAGGCCATTCAAAGTGTGAGCGCCGCCGCCACCGCTGATCTTACATGGGTGACATTATAATTTGGTGGCTGTCTATGAACTCTAGTGTTGTTTGTGTGGAAGTAAAATGCAAAGTCAAAGATGAGAACTCTTTAATAAGTGACTAACGACGCAGCAAAAAGAAAGAAGAGTTGTTTCTTGACCTCAATGTGCAGTGTTGAGATGAGGTGGTTAAATACGTTGCGTGTTGTGGGGGTTGATTGGTGTTATTTAAACTTTTAGAAAGGACCTGGTATACATCTGCACCATTTTAGGTTAAAGTCCTGATTTATTTATATTTCTACCAGAAAATACATACTATTATTTCATATATTGAATCCAGTTTTAACACACAGTAAATTAATTCATATCAGACATTTAAATGAATGGTCAATTCCTCTGTAAACATTTGAACTTCCTGTTTGAACATTTTCAAAAGGGACGATGGGGTAGGATTTTGGTTTGTCTTCTTAATGCACGTGGAACACATCAGATCGGAAGGTTCGATCTGATGTGGTCTAATCACGCATTAGTCCTCATGCGGTCATAACTCAGCTATGCTCATTTGTGAGGAATTTATTGGATGAGGTGTTGTTTTTATTTTGTTTTTTTCCTCTTTGGTTATTTACTTCCTACTGAAAAACCTAATGTAGTTGAACCTTCCTGGAGGTCTTATGTATTGGAATATGTCCCCCCCACATTGCCGCTGATTCAAAACGGAGCCCCCTTCCTTCGCGATTACGTTTGTTACTTAAAT